AATAGAAACAAAAATCAAAATTCCCCTCAATTATCCAAACATGCCCTTTAATATAAATTGTTTGCATTGCACCTCCAATAGTTTAAATAAATGCCCAAAATTCAAATTCTCCAAGCATTGTTATAATGAAGTAGTTAAAGCGTTCAACAACTCAACCCTACACAGAGTCATCAAACACATAGTTGACAGAGTTAACAATTTACAAAAATGAGCAAATTAACCCACAAAATGTCAAATAAATAGAAACATTGGTCAAATTTGTCTTCAATTATCTAGAGACCCAAGCAGTTAGAGATAATATTTTTTGTATATTGAATAATCAAAATTAAGGAAATATAAATTAGTAGTCTAAAATCCATGTCTACAATAGAAAACAGTCCATAAAATAGAAGCAAAAATCAAAATTTCCCTCAATTATCCAAACATGCCCTTTAACTTACACAACCGAATTGGCGAGAAACTTTAAAAATAAAAAAAGAAATAAAATATGAGGACAGCTAGACCTGACAATAAATGACCCGACCTGTTTTTGACCCAAAACCCGACCTCAAAACATTGGGTTTTGAACAGAGGTTTTGATGACCGAGCCCGAAATGACCCGCTAAAAATAGGTCAAACCCAACCGAACCTGAACCCGACCCAACCGACCCGCTAAAGTAAGAGTTTTTCAAAATTATACACTTTACTACTCGTTTTTAATGTATAAAATTATATTTTCAGACAAAAGTTTAATGATATTGCATAATTATCTTACTGTTTTCTAAAACTTAAGCATTTTTTAATTTTTTTATATTGATTTCTATATCTTAAAATATTTTCACGGTTTAAAAAAGAATAATCTAATAGATTTAATACATATTTTTTTTATATTTTAAATTTATTTAATAGAAAAGATAAGTGTTAATGCGAATTTTAAAATTTAAAAAACTAAAGTCATAACTCATTCGGTCGACTCAAACCTGATGACACTTGATCATGAACATACTATTCTCAACTCGAACCCGAATTGATCCGAACTTGAAATAACGCAAACTCGAAATGATCGAACCCGAACCTTTCATGACCTATCGTTTTTCCAGCTCTAAGGACTAGGGGCGTTCATCGGTCCGGGACCGGACCAGACCGGACCGGACCGAAGACCGAAATGGGAAAAAATAAGGACCGAAGACCGGACCTATAAGTGTTCAGTTTTAGACCGGACCGAACCGAAAACCCTTAGACCAGATCGGTTTTGACCGAAAAGACCGAACTGTACTAATTCTTTTAGTTTTTATAATTAATTTTTTTAATATTCTACAATTAGAGATGCAATTGTATTAAACTGAAAAAACATCATCATGCAATTGTATAAAAAATGGCAGTAACTTGGATTTTATTTCTTCATTAGATTCCTTCCAAAATTGAACCAAAAATAACAATTAATCAAAAATCATAATAGGGAATTGGGGATGCAATTGTATCAAAGTGGAAAAAAATTGCAGTAACTTGGATTTTATTTTCTTCATTAGATTTCTTCCAAAATGGAACCAAAAATAACAATTGATCACAAATCAAAGTAGGGAATTGAGGATGCAATTGTATCAAAGTGAAAAAATTCCATCATGCAACTGTATAAAACAGATACTAAGAAGCCCTGCTCGCGAATTATACCTCTCGATTTGGTACAAATCGGACACTAAGAACCGCTGCTAGCTCGTCAATCGAGGCCGGCCGCTGAAATCGGATTCTGGGGTTCTTCTCATAACCGGAAATGGAACTCTGAAGATCGATTCCTCCGGAGGGGATTCGATCAGGCTTTACTCCGGTCAATCGGAAGCCAAAGTGAGTGATGTTTTGCTGGATAATGAGAATTTTGTGTTGAGAGAAGATGAAGATTGTCGATTCAAGAGTGAGAGGGAGAAACGACACCAGAGAAAAGGGATAGCCTGATAGAGTAGGGTTGTAGAAATTCGGAATTAAAGGGTTTTATCGGTCAGTCGGTCCAGACCGAATGGTAATCGGGTATGGACCAAAGCGGACCGAAACCCAAAATCATATATCTTCTGGACCGAAGACCGACCCGATATCAATTCGGTCCGGGTTCGGTCTGGATCTATCGGTCCGGTCCACTCGGTTTTTTGGGTCCAGACCTAAACATGAACACCCCTACTAACCGCCCAAGGCCTTCCAATTACCCGACCCAAACCCGAATGGAATGATCCGTTTTCCCGATTCTTGTTCATCGCAGTACATAAAATGCGATTCTCCGCTGTGAGCCCTGACCATACACTCCACCAATCCACAACGACTCCCCGCACTCTCTAGCTGTGCTCAACCTCAAACTCAACCTAATTCGCAGACCGATCGGCTTCATAATCACGCGCCGTCGAGGTCGGCCATCCGGTGGCATACTTCGAAGTAAGCTGTCTTCGACTTCATCTTTAACCCCTTCGGGTTTTTGACGCATTCACCCCTTTGGGTTTTTGACGCATTCACCCCTTCGGGTTTTTGACGCATTCTGGAGAACACTAACCCGTCTCTCTGAAGGGGTTTCTTATTTATTCAATTCTTTATTCATCTGCAATCGGAGGGGGTTATTAGGGTTCTTATCGCATTAAATCTTGACTTTTGTGTCGGGGTTTGCTGCAAATGTATTTGATGCAAATTGTGTGTGGTTAATGTTTTTTTCAATCGCTTTTTCATCTTTACTACTTTGATATTATCAAGCTCTAGCTGTAAATTGGGGTTAGTCATTGTGTAATGTACATTTGTACGTTTAATTTTGCGGGTTAAATGTTGTTATCTACCATTAATTTTGAGATTATCCACTTCCTTCTTCATTCCCTTTTGTTGTCCACTCTTTAAATGATACCCTTGCTATCAAGAGTCATATATACTATTGTGTTCGTTGCCTTTTGTTATTTGTTTTCCAAATCATATCATTGCTATCACATTTTCTCTTCTTTGTTAGTAGCCAATTCAGTTACAAGATATTCCTATTTCTCTGTTGAAAGATTGCAACAATGGCTAATATGGTCATAACAACGATACTAGAAAAGATATTTTTCCAACTATATGGTTGTTATTTAGTGTGGGTGTGTGTTACTCTTAGTAGTTAGGTGATTAGCCGCTCGTTATACTTGATTTTTTGTAATGCCCTAATTTGACTATAATTGCAGATGACTGGAAAGGACAAGGATTACAGATACATGGAAACTTCTGATTTGCTCAATGAATTGAATAAAGAAGGATTTAAACTTGATGTTGAACTTGAAGCAAAGGTATCTAATGTTGTAATACAGCAGCTAGATGACGTAGCGGGTGATGTTTCTGGATTAGCTGTAAAATGGTATGCATTTTTAATGATTTATTTTGCTTTTTTACCTGAATTGAAAGATATCACGTTCCATGCACATGCCACATGTATGTTGGTCAGTGGGTGCATTGTTTCTTTGCTTATACCAACCTTCAATTGATCACCCAAAAGATAAAGAATCACAATTTTAGCACCCTTCATTTTGGGATGTTCTAAAATTGCAAAATACATGTCCTGTCTTCTTTGGTGCGGAATCACATCTCTGATTATCGAATGGTTTGAAAAATATTTTGCTCTTGAATTTTCTCCAATCATTGAAATCAACATTTTAACAATGATTTTTATTTGAATATTCCATTATTA